GGTGTCACAGGGCTTCCTCACCACACCATGCTGGCTGGTGATGAGAGGCCACTGCTTCTACTTGATGGTGCAGTCAGCTACCATGTACCACTGCTCAGCATCGCGGGCCATTGGAAAAATGCAAACTGAAATGACCCTGAGAGTCCATCTGACTCCAATAAGAATGGTCCTCATTAAGAAATCAAATAATTACAAAGGCTGGTGAGGCTGAGGGGAAAAGGAAGCCTTCTACAATGGTGGAGGGAGTGCACACCAATGCAGGCACTGTGGAGATTCCTCAAAAGCTGAAGGAGAAATTCCATTTGATCCAGCTATTCCTTTTCTAGGTATGTTCTGGAAAACGTTAAAGACATCATATTACAGTGGTATATGCACACCCGTGTTTATAGCAGCACAAATCATAATAGATAAATCTTTGAAGCAGCCTATGTGTTTATGATACATGGATAAAACAATGTGTATGTATAATAGAGTACTACTCTGCCATAAACAAAGACAAACTTGAGTCATTTCTAGTAAAATGGATGCACTTTGAGATCTAATGTTAAGTGCAATAAATCAAACACACAGGCTTAAATAGTGCATGATTTACCTTATGTGAGAAACCTGAAATATATATTTTAAAAAGAATGAAATACAAGATAATAGAAAATAGGGAGATAGATCTTTTGCAAAAGGGGAACCAAGAAATGGAGAGTGGCTGGAGAAGGGGAAAAGAAGGAGTCGTGAAGAGAATTAAGATGAGTTATGTACATGGACCAACTCCCCAGGAGGCATGTGATGATTACATATGCTAAACATGAACTAGTAAAAATAAAAACTCAAAACAGCATTGCCTGCCAAATACACATGCTATCAGGCCCTGAGGGTGCCTGGCTTCCGGCACTGATTTTCTAAAGGAGAAGGCGGTGACCCACTGAAGAGAAGACTGTGATGTGTGAGGAACCTGCAAATGTAAGTGCTGTGACCTACCTGCAGTTAACAAGAAGCCAAGACCGCCTGTGGGTCGGCGCCATGCGCTGACTAGGGAGAGCCAGAGGCCAGCCCCTCCCAGTGTGCGAGCAGGGAGACAAGAGGAAACAATGTCCCCGCTCCCACCATCAGCAGCTGGCTGCTCTGGAGAAACACAGGCTGTGATGATAGCTAATGAGGTAAAATACAGCTTAATGCTTGTGGTGTTTAGTGCTTCACTGACTTCGTAGGCCTAAAGCAGGTAGTGTGATCATCTATTTAGACGATAACAATACCCACTGTAGCATCTATGGGTCTCTCCTTCGGAGGTGGTAGCTATTGTTAGTTCCCTATTATTTTGTTTCAAAGTCCTTTATCATTTTCATTGTTTTGTTAGGTTGGGTTTTGTTCTGTTCTGATTTTATTCTATTCTGATTTTATTACATCTGATGGCTTGGGCAGCTATTTGAAAGATAACAAGCTATATTACAGTAGCCATTTTGGATTTACCATTATTTTGTTTTGAAGTCCTGTATTGCATTCATGGTTTTGTTTTCACTGCTTCTATTCTGTTCTGTTCTGTTTGGTTTTACTATATCTGAAGGTATGTGCAGCTATTTTAAAGATAACAAGAGGCATTATGGTAACCATTGCTGAGTTCTTATTATCTAGTTTTGAAATCCTGTGTCACGAAAACTGTCTTGTTTTGATTGGCTTTATTCTGTTTTATTTTGCTTGGTTTTATTCTCTTTAAAATAAAATGTAAAAAACAAAACAAAAAAATGAAAGAAAAACAATTCTATGGTCCCTAGAACATAAGGAGAAGGGAGGTGGACTCTTGCCTGAAGAACAGACGCCTGCCCTTCCAGAAGGTGACAGGGACAAGGAGTGGAGGTCTCGGGGGCAGCTGGGCTCCGGGCTGCACCTGAGGCTGAGACTCCTGATGTTCTGGGAGGAAAGCACAGCATTCAGTGCTCTACCCATGAGGAGTGAGGCTGAGCGTCTCAGGAGGCCATCAAAGTGGACAGGGCCATCAGAGAGGACATCAGGACAGAACCAAGCGGGACCCCGGAGCAGCAGCTGCCACCCTGCCACTTCTTCACCCCATCTGGCCACCCCACACCACATGGGACGGACGTTATTAGTTGGTAAAGGTGCATTCTTTACTTACTTACTTTATTCAATCCCTACAAGAACCCCACGACCTCATAAGAAGATACTATTAAATTTAATCCCACTTAATAGATTAGAAAATAAAGCTCAGAGACGTTAAGTAACTTTTTTGCGAGATGCTCTTAGTAGGCGGCTGGTTTCAGGCCTTACAGAGCCCTTCTGAGGCTGTAATAGGGTGACAGTCATAAGAAAAGGGAGAGGCAGGGACTTAGTAAGTGCGATCTCCCATTATTCCTTCTAATCCAGGCTCGGATGGCACAGGGATTAAAAAGCAGTGACACAATTTGCATGCATAATACCACTTCAGATTGTTTTACAATCCACAAATAGTATTTGTTCCTAAATAGAAAGCGACCAAATATATATTAAACCATTTAGTGTTAGTGGCTTGCTTTTGTTTTGTCTTATTGTTTTTTAGAAGTGTTCTCTGATCAGTTGAAATTAGCTCTTTGGAATAGAACCAGTGTGTTAATTTGTCATTTATTCCACGTAAATGTTCTAAACCATGAAGTCTCTTTGACAGAAATAACACCTTTATTGTTTTTGTGATCATGTTACTATTTAATGATGATCTCAATGCAAGAATAATTTCTACCCTGTGAACTCCTTGGAGGCGGGAGGACTCTAACCTGTGCGTGCTCACGCTCTAGGTGTCTGCTCCCTTTTCACTGAGGACCTGCTAGCCTGGGCACTGAGGTGAGCGTCACATGCTATGACAGTGCAGCCCTGCTCATGTGTCTGCAGGGGATTCTGGCATTTGCTTTCCAGCTTTGCCTCTTCTGAGACTTTTCCACATTCTCAGACACTGGTGGGACGGTGTGAGACTTAGAGGTAGCGAGACAGAGCTGGTGCGACAGGAGGAAAATCGAGGAAGGATGGGTGGATGGATCTTAGGGTCAGGATGGTGGGGAGAAATGAGACGGCAAGGCATGATCTGAGCCCAGTCCTGAGCCCCCGAAGCCCCATGCTATCCCCAACACTATCTGGGGCCAGAGCTGACCTGTGACCCTCCCCTCGCAGGCACCTCTGTCAATTCTGTGTTGTACACAGATGGAAAAGGCTGACTTCTGAGCCCTGAAGGAAGGAATGGCTTCACCCCTGGCGGGAAAGCAGCCGCCGGCCCTATGCTGCTTGCCTTGGTGAGGCGGGGTGCTGCAAGGTTTGTTTTGAACCCCAGCCACTCTGCACCCAGGAAATGGCTTGTTGACTGCAGACGGTGCATTGCAAACCACCGCTGGAGTTGCTGTGTGGCCACCCATCTTTCTTGGAATCAGCTGGAAAGAGCCAAAGTATTCTTCAAACTGCAGACCAAGCTACTGCAGCCCTTCCGACGGCCAGAGGTCAAGGAAGGAGGAATGCCCTTGTTTTGGCGAATTATCGTGACCTGGCATGAAGGAACCTGCTCTTCCTCTATCACCATAGAGACCATTATAAAATTTCTTGTAGATACATCAGAAACAGGACTACCTACTCCCATGAGGTGGACAGTGGGCAAAAAGAACCTCCAAGGAAGCAAATAGCTATGTGGCAGAATAACACAACCCACTGGAAAAAATCTCTTTACAACCCAAGTCATCGTGGATGCTGAGCTTGTGGACAGGTAAGGGAAAAGGGCCTGACCGCGCTCTGAGGAGCTTCTGGAGCAGGATTTGGATACTGCAGGCCAAAGTGGGGTGCACTTTCTCTCCTGCACGGGGAGCACTGCACAGAGGTACTCAGCGCACACGGATTTCATCGATATTCAGGGAGTGCATGCGTCGGGCCGTTTTGGACCAGACAGGAACCTTATAAGAGTGATTTGACAAAAAGAAATAGCCAGTGTGCTCTGCCAAAATCAGTAGTGCTCTTCTTCAAGATGAATCACAGTCTGTTCCAAAATGTAAAGTAAATTTACTCACTTTTAATTAGACGAAAACCTGATACTTTTATAAAAATGAAAAGAAACGGCTGGAGTGTAGCCATTGTGTGATCTTGGGTAAGTAGTGTGGCTGGTCTAGACCTCGGCTTTCTCATCCTGATCCTCAGCTCCAACTATTTATGGAAGGGTTAAATAAAATAGCCCATACCAGGCCTTTAGTGTGGTCTTCAGTATTCCTAAGTACTCAGTGGTAACTGTTACACATTATAAAGAGTAACAATTAATAGAATTGATAACACATGTGCTCACATCATCAACACTGATGACTAATTTTACATCACTCTTTCCCTGGAACCCACAGACAATGTCTGATCATAAATAATTGAGAAGAGGTTACCTAGGGAGAAGGCAACCCCAGATCTGAAAGGCACAGTCGATGCCATTTCTGCCCAGCTCTGACCTTCCTGGCACTGGTGAATCTGGAAGTTTTGAAATGCCCTGGGTATGCTTCTTGCAGCGTTTCCTCCTGATGCCTGTGAAGAAAGTCTGTTTTGCTAAGACCTTGGGCCTGATTTCTAGTGGGAAAAGGGCCAGGAAATTTGGCTTCATTTCCAAGTGTCTTTGCACTTTTCCCAGTTGCACAGACCCTCCGAGCTTCCCCCGATTACCTCGTTTCAATGACATGGAATCTTTCAAAGGGAATGTAATAATTCCACCGAGAACTTAGCGTTTCTGACAGCCAACCTCCCACCATCCTCTGTGCTTCATAAATTATGCTGCCTGTGAGGGTGAGCTGGGCAGCGCCGATTTCCTGGCCCCTCGTGATTCATGGGTTCTCTTAACTATGTCAGTGCCTCGTCAGCAGAGCTGTTCTTTTTGGACAGAATGAGACAGCATCTGCTTCTTCTAGGGCAGCATGAAACCGGGCACTGAGCCTCTTGTGGACCCCAAATTTCAAGTTACCCAATAGCTATTAATGTTTGGAGTCACTTCCAAATTCAGAAAATGTTAGCATTTAATTAACAATTGTCTCTCTGCAAATACACTGTGACCTGAGAGGCCACTCTGATGGCCCTGCACTGTGATCATTAAAATTAACTAACAGACCACAAGAATGGTACCGTTCAGGTCCGAGGTGGAGAGGCTGTAATGAAAAGAAAGTGAAACTAAAAGCAAGCAGCAGATGGCAAGATCCAGGCAGCACAGAGGCCACCCAAGCCAGCCTCTTTGCAGCTCCCGCCTCTCCCCAGCCCACCTGAGGGCTCTAGAATGGGAGGTGCCAAGCAACTTGGGTGAGAAACCCTGAACACGCTTCCCCTCTGGAGCACCTTCTCATGATGCAGCGTCTTAGTACACGAGCAGAAGCCATGCATTCTTAGGAATAAATTCTACCTCCCTCCTGCTTCTGGGACTGCGCAGGAGGAGCTTCCGAGACTCCTGGGTGCTTCTGACTCAGAGCCTTCCTGCTGGGGACACAGGAGCCAGCTGAGATCCTCCAGCCTCCCTCTCTCCTGGGAACCCTGGGGCGTCTGTAATGACCTGAAGGCCTCTTTGGGCTTAAGGATAGGGAGAAAGAGAACAGAAAGAAAGATATGCGTGGGAAATGGCTGCATGAAAAGCCTTTTAGGATTTGGGGAAGAGAATTCTTAGAAGGCTATAGGATGAGACCAATGCAAAGCAGGACACTAAAGCACAATGATTGGGTGATTACACACCGACAGCACAATGTCCTATTGTGGACAGTCGTCAAGGTTCTCGTCATTTTCACAGGTTTGTCTGCTTGGTCCTTTCAGTTCTTTAATGATGCATACATTAGTGGAAGATTTTTAAGGTGAGGAGCCTCTGAAATGAGTCCTTTTGCTTGTGATAGTAGTCTGACGTGTAGATTCTCATTCTAACCTAAACATGTCCACAGGAGATGGTTCTCAATCGCAGTTGCTTTGCAGAAAGAGGAGGCTTCTTTGGTGTGTGTGTGAGGGTATGTTTGTGTGTGTGTGAGGCCCTGTGCATTGTACAATATTCCTGGTATCAGCAGCTTTCACCTGGAGAAACCAGGAGCACTCCCAAGCTGGGACTACTCAAAAGTCCCCATTTGCTGTCTAGCTCCTGAGTCATGGCTCACTCACAGGGGAGAAAGATGTCCAGGGAGCAGGCTGACTGTGATTTCTACCCACGCTCTGGCACTCTGGGATCAGGTTAGGCTATGCCCTCCCTGTGTTCAGTTTCTTTACCTTATAAAATATGAATTGTAGGGAAAATTGTGAAAGAACCTAAATGGGCCAAAAGATGAAGAAGAATCTTCATAGCACAGCAAGGTGTATGGATCTCTAGCATATTCTTTTAAGTTACCCAATTTGATGAAGGCTTTTATTTCTATTGTCTTTGAGCTACTTTCCAATTGTATATCATGTAGAAAACTGATCATAATGTAAGTCTTGATTTGATGACATAAAGTCTAACTTGAGTCTAGTGGAATCCAGTTGATTTTTGCATCTGGATATTAGTTTTTTGGGGTTTACATCTAATTTAAAATTCATTCCGCATTCCATGTGTGACTACCTTTGTGTAATGTAAACTCCACTTTGAACCTGTGTGACATTGTAGTGGTTCCCTCATTAATTAGTGAACTAAGTAAAATCCTCCACATGCGTTTAAAAAAGAAAATCCGTTGCTCTTTCTTTTGGCAGTGAAAACGTGAGTGCTTACACAAGGACCTCCAGAGCAGACGTCTTCAATATCACATCTACTCCAGCCCAACCACTTCCTTCCTGATTCCTTACAACCCTTGTAGTTTGTGTATGCATTAATCAAATAAATGAGGAAAAGGAAATGAGGTTTGGATATAACAGTACTGTTCACAGTATTATTCCTTTCTCTGGATTCCTTGTTTACACTGCTGGAATTTACTAGGTAAATGTCGACCTAAAGCACTTAACTCAGCTAGCTATAATATTTAGAAAAGGATCTGACACCCACCACACCACAACTATCTCATCCTATGCAAAACTAAAATCGTGTTTTAAGCTCATTGATGGGAGTCGAATTTCCTACAGAAGTCATTACTTTACTGTTATCTACTCCACAGTGTTTCACTTCAGTCTCCTTATTAACCTGTTCCAACATGAACCTGTATCTGGAAGCGATTCAGGAGTGAAAATACACTGGAACCCAAAAGCATTGTCCTCAGGTCTAGAAAAATTTTCTTTTTCTTTCTAGCTCTCTGCTTATTCTTTGCATTGACCGTGGGGCTCTCTGGAATCTTCGAGTCTGCCTTTCTTTTCCTACAAGGCGGGTGGAACAGATCGCTTCTAGGTCATTGTCAGCTTCAAGATTCCATGGTGCCATGATTCTGTCCCTAGACTGTTTTCCTGAGAACAAAGTTGTGGCAACAACAGGGGGACACAAGTCTAGAAATGATGTATAGCCATTCCTGATCTCTACCCAGAGTTCTGGTTCCTTCTGCTCCTTTGGCCTGCTTCTACCTTCCTCTCTTGTCCAGGCACAGAGCTCCCTTGTGGGATCTGGAATTCTAGTTCCAGCTCCCTCCATCGGAACAGTCTCAGCAGGTCACCTGCCCCTTCGCTCCTGCCCTACAAGAGTGAGTCTATTCGAGAGCATCTGGATGGAATGACCCCTGATGACTGAGCACAGAGTGACCATGTATTGTTGAGGTACCCCATTGTTCCCATGCCCAAGTGTTCCTCCTCCATTGTCTCCCTGTCCGGAATTCCTTGCCTGCCATCTGCTCTTCCTCCATGGCTGCCTGTTTTGTCTTTCACTGCCAAGGCTCAGGTCAGCAACTGCAGAAGAACCTGACCAGTACCTTGCTCTTCCCAACAGCACTAATCAGGGCTGCAGCTCTTCTCAGGGGCTCCTTGGAAGGGGAGCTCTGGGCTGCTGCCTGCTCCAGGTAGGTTTGTTTGGGGCAGTCCACTAACGCATTTCTCTCAGCTCAGCTGTTAATTTTGCCTAAGAACTGGCTGCAACTTTTTATTTAAAATCCACTGCCTGATAGAGACCTTGTGATGGCATGATTCAAAGACAATTTTTATTGCTAACTTACTAGTTTTTTGAAAGAAGGAAAATTTGACGTTTAATATTTAAACAGCTTCTATTTTGCTGAGTTATTTGATATTCAATGTTAACTATGTAACCAGTTAAGGACCATTTCTAGAGACTTTTCCCAACATTTAGAGCACGATAGGAATGTGTTTGTAATGCTTCCGCAAGACCAGCTGCCAGCCGTTTCATACTGTGGTGGCTATTGCTAGCAGGTATGTTCATTAGTAAGGAAATAAAGAAACACTTCTATTTTGATGGATTTTAATTTTCCCACTATGCCAGACTGCTTTATTTTCCCCCTTAGGGACAGGAAAAAATTCCTTTCATTTATAAAATGTTACCACTTTTTTAAATTTAGGGGAAATTGAAACAGAATTTAGCACAAGGAAATGCATTGTCTCTGGGTAAAGAAGATCATTCCAAGCATTTTCATGCCATTTTTTTTTCTTGATGTTCAGGAGTCATTAAAAACCTCGTATGTATGCTTGGGTTCAGACAAGGGTCCATCTCTCGGATTCAGACAAGAGGTTTTCAGAATCATCCCCTTTTACAGAGCCAGGGCCTCTCTTACCCAAAATGTCCAAGCCTAATAAAATGGTCACCTTGAGTTCTACAGGCAGATTCTATCACCTGAATCAAGTTCAACAGCAGCCACCCCAGAGCCTTGGACAATCTGTTAACCTACTCTTTTCCTGGTATTCGCAATTCCTACAGGTTTGTTCCATTCTGGAATAAGAAAACACATATACACACTTCTACAAGGGTGCAACACAAACTTCAGTTACAATAAAAATCTCAGTTCTATGAAAGGAAGCTAAAGTCCATTGTCCTTTCGAACTAGGGAATTTATCCTGAATACTTTGTAAGGATTAAACTGTTGGTTGAAAATAAAGCATCTTCCTTCCATTAACTGTGTACACTTCCATGGTTCAAGGAGAAGCCTAACGCGATACGGACCTAAGCATTGGTGTCTCCTTCACTTTGTCTAGTGACCTTGGGAAAATCACTCACCCAGCTGACCAGCTTCATTAAGTACCAAATGTGGATATATGATGCCAGCTCAAAGTAGGTGATGTGAAAATACTCTAGAAGCCGTGCGGCTGGATTCCTACTCTTGATTCTGCCAAAAGACATCCAAAGTCCCTGCTCTTCTCACAGCTGCTGCCCCCAGAGCCCTTGCTACACAGGTGGCATAGTGGTCATGTTGGGCTGTCGCCCCCCCTCCTGTGACATTAGTCAGGGGTGGACTCTTGACCAAAGACGCCCAGCAGCAGGAAGGAGTCGTATCTCTTGGAACTCAAGAGATTCAAGAGTATTGTCAGACGGTGGCCTGATGATGCTGAGAAATTGGGATCCGTGGTGGCCAAGGAGAGAGAGCAGCTCCTTGGCTCTAGGGGAGGTCCTTAATCCAGTCCAGGGGCGAGACATTGATTTTTTTCCCCAAGATGGCCAGAAGATGGCCCATGTTGACCTCACAATAAACTCCCCTTGAGTGACTTCTCTTCCTGGCAGCCAGTAGAGGTTTGGCCGACACAATAACACCACAACTACAAAGGGCATGACCAGGAGCACAGAAGACTGTATCGCAACAGAAGCAGATGTTTCCAACTGTCCTTCAAGGCCACCAAGATGAAGCTTTCCAGACAGGCTTTTCAAAATGTGAAATGCAGGGTGGACCATAGAAGATGCCAAAGCAGGCCTTGTGTGCAGTGGAAAGATTTGCTATGTTCAAAAATGTGCTTCAAGCAACACAGAATCTGGTATTTTCTGAAAGATTCTCTCTCTCTCTCTCTCTCTCTCTCTCTCTCTCTCTCTCTCTCTCGTCCTCCATATACAAAGTTTTGGGATCCATAAACGATAGTATAGTACAGTAGAAATAATACACATTCTACACTTAGACACAGGTTGAGGTTCTAGCACCTCAAATATGAGCTCTGTGAATTCGACCAGGTTATTTGACTCCTCTAAGCCTCCATTTCTTCATCTATATGTAATTCGTGGAAAGAGCGTGGCACTCATTAGGCACCCAGACCACACTAACCTCTTCCCTCTCCTTCCTCACCCCAGTTACTATTTTACAGCCACCGCAGAATATTGCTCCAAACTGAAAAGCAGGATTGGAAAGAAAACAGAAAATAATCTTTTGCCTTTTTGACTTTGTTAACAAGAAGTCTCCCTCGTTTTCATCAAAAAGAGGTGAACACAGAGGCTTAGAACAAGACTTCGGGCAGAGGGGACTGTGTCTGACTCCTCCCTGGCTGCTGTAACTGAGTTCCACAGACCAGAGGACGTTTGTCTCACAGTCCTGAGGCTGGAGGGTCCAAGACAAGGAGCTGGCAGACTGCGCGGCTGCAGAGGCCCTGCCTGCTCCTAGACACTCTCTCGCTATGCTGTCACATGGTAGCAGGGGCGAGCTGTCCAGGACCTCCATGTCCCTACACTTTGAACTTGGGGTTGAGTTTCGCCATGTGAATTCCAGGGGGTTGCGAACACAGAGCCCATAACAAAGGCCTCCTTTCATTCTCATGTGCATATTTTGGTCAACAGATTACTTTCCCAGCGAAGTGGCTCTGGTGCCAGCACATGTCCCAGCCAGTGTGCACTTGTGTCCACACGCACTAGCTGTGCACAGCCATCAGCGTGGTTTTTCTCATCAGGTAGATTGCAGAGCAACCTGGTGCGGACGTTGGCCAAAAATCTTCTCAGATAAAATCTGCTGCACTCCATAAACGATTGCTTCACTTGAAGGAGGAAGATGCTTAGCAAGGAAGCCTTGTGAGGAAGGCCCTGCACGCTGGCACAGGAAATGATTCCCGGAGGATGACAAAAAGCCTGCTCAAGTGGCTTCAGCCATCTCCAGCCCTGCCGTGCTGTGTAGCATCATGGCGGGATGTGTGCATTCCTGAAAACGTCTGATTCCCCAGGTGACAGAGAGAGTGAGGGATCTTCCAGAGGTGAGCCAGACTTCCATGCCTAGGATGCATGCGCACCCAAGAACTTGGACCACGTGTAAACAGGGGGTCATGAAAAGAAAAGCAAGCAAGGGGTCAGGCCACTAGCTCCATGCAGGCGAGCAGGACCATCCCTCCAGCAAACTTAGGAAACATACTAGCATGTGAAACCTTTCAGAGGGGACCCAGGTCGGCACCTCCAAATCTGCCCAGCCACTGCACCCAAATATCCTTTCAAGCAGCTGTGACCTATACAGAGATATGTATATTCTGAAAGCAGAGCATTATTAAAAATGAGTCCAAATACCAACTCTCCCCTAAAGCACATATTTTTTTTTTAATGTTCATGGTCCTTTGTGGTTCTGGAAAATCACAACTCTGTGAAAAAACAAGAACAGTGCCCAGGACACGCTAAAGCAGCATGAAAGGGGCCACCCATCAGGACAGATCAAGGTCAAGCAGGTGACTGAAAAGGAGGAATCTGACAGCATGCCAGATTTCAGAAACTCAAATCCACCAATCCATAGTTTTATTCCAGCCTCTGTCTATTTAAGGTCAATTTGGAAAAGTTTTCAAGCAAACTATTCTAAACCTAACCCCTTTTCTAGCCTGCTGTCTGATTAGGGTTTAAATGAGTTTACGATATAAGCCTTACTATGCTCTTAAAAAAAAAGTCCCCCAACCCCCACTAATTTAGGTTAAAAAACGAAGTAATGGCAGCAAAAGTATCTTTAAGTTTTGCAATAATCCTTCCAGTACTTCTGCATCCCAAAAGGCTCCAGATGTGACCAGACACTGCAAAATGGTAAGTTGTTTATCAGCACTCTACAATGGGAACTGGCACCTGTAATTTCACTCTCTTTTTGCATCAGCATTATTAAAACACCTAAACAAATGACCAAGCCAAGGTTTTGTGTGATCACACAGAGCCTTTGGGGTGAAACACTCAGCAGGCTGCCCCCGTGGTCCCCAAGGGTGATTGCTGGTGTTAGCAGCTTCCTCCCCTAATGCCTGAGTGTAGTGATACCCGCCAGAGCTCTTTCTAGAGGGAGATTTTGCTGGTAGCTTGAGCTGGAAAGCAAAACTGAAATGTTGTTCTCTGGGACAGAACTGATGGTTGATCGCTTTGGATCATACAAAGAATCCCAGGGTGCTTCCGTGACATTCATTCCTTTCTTTCTTAGTTTTTCTTTTTCTCCCCACCTTGTTAACAGTCATCTGTAGCCTTCTGGATACCTAGGTCTACAGTGAAGATTTAAGAAATAAACCTTTGATTCATGTGATGACAATGAACAGCCTAGGAAACCGGACATCCCTCCTCCTCTTCAGCCTGGGCTCTGCTGCATCTCCCCGAGATCCACTCAGCGGCCAGCTCCAGCCGGCCCCCATCTTTGCTGTTGTTTAGAAACAGGACAAGTACCTTTCACAATGCACATTACTGGAAGCGCACTTCTGCCAGACTGCTGATTCCCATCCCGATATAGCAGCAGGCCGTAACTTCGTCCTGATGTGGTATCAACCTGGGCTAGAAGTTAAGCTGGGGAAAAACTTGCTGTTCTTTATTCCTGTAAAATGATTACCCACCTGGATGCTTGGAAACAGGCCATTTAAAGTAGTCTACTTCTGCAAGGCCTTGGCAAGCCTGGTAAAGAGAAGTGGTTTGGGAAGTAGAAGGGCAGTGAGTTAAATGACCCCCCTGGCGTTCCAGACGGAGTCAGGGCCACACTAGGGGTAGAACTATACTCCTGGCAGTTAACTGTCAACATTGTACAGTTGATCGTGTTGTCTTGGGAGTTGGAGGGTCACACAATTCTTGTTACTGGTTGAAGACTTGTTTCTGCTTCTCATTGACAGCAAGTAGACACATCTTGATGTGTTAAAAGAAGTCCAGATTAAGGATAGGCTAGGTTAAGTCACACGGATATTTCTAATTGCTGCTTGCTAAAGTTTGGAGAGCTAGGAGTACCCAGAAAAATGTGAATGTTACTTCTGTGTCAGGGTTTTATTAGAGGAACAGATAGAACACAAGATATACAAATGTGTAAGAAATCACAAAACTGGCTTACAATGGTCAGCCACAGAAGGGGATGAGGAAGCGTGCAGAGGGTGTCTGCACCTGGAGGCCAAAGGATTCAATCCAAGGTCTGGAGCTCACTGCAGTGTCCCTCGCAAGTCTGCATCAGGAGACCAATGGATCTGAGATGGATGGCTGAAGAGGCATGCTTAAAGAGCCTAAGCTGGAACAGATACACTGGAAGGCAGCAGGATCCAAGGTGGAAGCCAAAGAGTCTGTACTGTAAACCAGGTGATGACATCCAAGCTGAAGGCAAAGACTGGAGCTGTTAGAAGGAAGGAATCTGTCTGTCCTTCCTCCTTCCCTTTTATACCTAAAGCCACCTAGGGTGGGTATTCTATACCCTAGGGTATAAATTGCTAAGCCAATTTAACTAAGCTTCTAAATTTCTCAAGTTGACACAATCAACCAACAATTACACCCTATTTTCTTGAGATAGTCTTTAAATTCTTTAATGTCAGTGATGGACACACTTTTTTTATCCATCCAAAGGCCATAGCTTCCTGCAAAACAAGCCTTCCACCCAGCAACAGACCCACTGCACAGTGTTAGCAGAGGCCTCGCTGAGTAAGAGGGCTCGAAGTGTGACGATGAATAGGAAAACAAGAAGATGAGAGCGTTCACGTCCTTGATCTAACGTCAGACCTCCTGTGCAGAGGAGAGGGGACCATGGGTGCCCCAGTGGCAGCTCTTTTGGAAGCCCTGACGGTGGAGTGGACTGCAGTGTTTAGGTATGTTTTTCTGCATCACAGCTTTGGGGACTCGGACCTCTGGTCCTCCGAAGGTTGCTTTGTTTTAAAAAGCAATTTGCAAATCTAGTGCCATCTTCAGAGATCTCAAAAGATAAGTTCTTTATCTTTTAACACCTAGTAGGGCGTTTTCTTGGAGTTGTGTTAAAGAAATGAATTGAGGCTCTTAAACACTGGAGCTTCAGATTGGGGTGCTGAAGAAAAGACTCTCTCCTTCACACCAGTCCCCAGGGGGGGGAAGATGGGGGAGCAAAGAGAAACCTGCAGAGAACCCTGGGCTCCCCGGAATCAGCGAGCAGCCCTCGGAGGAGCCCCGGAAGTATCTGTCTCTAATTAATCTCTTCTGCCGTATTCCCTCCACATCCGCTCGCTCGTAATTATATTTTTGATTGTAATTGCATTATATGACAGTTCAGATCCCTTTACAATAAATACCATGGCGGTGGGAACCTTATTGCTGCAGAAGATCTCCAAGCCTTAGCCAGTGATGTCCTCATCCTAAGATCCTTTCCACCATCGTGTTCAGTAAAGTCCTAGCACTGTGAAATAGCTTGGGTGCTCCCTCAGGTCTGGTGCGAAGGAATGTGGCCTTGGCCTTGCACGCTTTGTCACGTGAGAGTGGGAGGATCTTTCAGTAGATCGTGAAATCTTCCCAGCACAGTTTCACACGAGTAGATGCTCAGTACACCAGAACAAGGGAATGACTCACAGGAGAACTGGGTAACGAAAAGGGAGCCCCATCTATTACGGCAACCCGCTAGAATTATAGCTGTCACGAGAACAACAGCCACTCTTCGCTGTCATTCCTATCAGTATCCAAAAATGTACTGAGTGCGAATCTAAGCCCTGATATGAATACTCTGGACTCTTATTTGTTCCTGATGTTTTCTTCCAGAAAGTCTTCATATCAACCAGCCAGCCATTTGGGGCACCATGATTCTATCTGTGCGGGCATTCGCTAAAGAGTCTTCTTATACATCCTATAAATTCTTTGTTACTGCTGCTAAACAATTCTACAGGCACGCGTGGTTCACAGGATTTTCTTTATACACAAACTACCTCACCTATTTGTCTACTCTTCTGGAATTCTGTATTTTAAAAAGACAGTGTCAGGGGAAAATGAACTATTTGAAATCCAAAGACATAAACATGATAAGCAAAATCTGGTTCTTAGCCCACATGAGTGGTTCTCTACAATGAAGAAGCCGCATGAGACTCAGCTCTGCCGCCCCTCCTGGTTAACCAAGGCGGGCATCTGGAGATGGCAGGCAGGCCTCTGGTCAAATGCTTTTGGAATAAGTGCTGTATGCAGCACTGGCAATTCAATGTGTAAGAAGACAAGATTTAAACATGCATTCCATCTTCATTTCTTCCATTGCTGGGGGTGGAGAAGAAAACAGCTGAATCAAAGGAAGCGGCTTCAGGTTCGGATTAATAAACTGGCTTTAACAGACAAACTAAAATGGCCAGGAGGAAAGCCAGGTAATCAGACTTCGGGACAGAGTTTCTGTCCCGACAGCTTACAGGAAGATGAAATGTTAAGGAAATGTCTGGCTGTCTTAGCTGGGTACACAGTTTTAGAAAAATAAAATCCATTGGATCCAGCGGTGATGGTTGTACAACTTTGAGAATATATGAATTAATTTAGGAATGTGATACTTTATTTTTTACTTAAGGGAGAAAAAGACACAGAAAAGAGAAACAATAAGCAAAAGGGACAAACAACAACAAACACAAGACAATAAAAACATAGGCTTTCAAAACAAGGTGGTAGGAATTTAACAATGGTTGTTATATTGTATATTGTTACCTTCAAAAGGTTTGCTTAGATTACTAGATATAGATATACAAAATTGATCACCTATGAGTATTAGTTGTTCTTTTCCAAGACCAGTACAGTTAGTAGTACAGTCATCTTAGCTATCTTACATAGCTATATACAAAATTAGGTCTTTTTCCTCCTAAGCTTCAAAATGTTGAGTTCTACAACAATGTGGTGCATCTCACAGCAGGGGTGATATTGTGAGGATCACTAAGGTTTTCTTCTCTAAGTCCCACACTATACACTCAGACCCTTGGCACTACCCCTAAAATCCATCTGCTTCCTGGTCTCTAAAGGCAAATACGACCTTTGGCTCAGTGGCACTGTTCAAGCCAATAGTCAGCCTGCCAATGGGTGACGGATCAATGACTCCAGGATTCTAGCGAATAACCTGTGACTCAGAAGCCACCGGGCTCTGAGTGTGCATCAGAGTCCAGTGAGCATCTGCCTCTGACAGACATATTTTGCAGAAGGCAGCTTGAGCCAGGAAACGACTTCCCCTAACGGTTGCACCAGAGTCAGTGGTTGCCCTAATGGAACATTTCTGCAGAAGGGCTGAGTGCAGCATGCCACAGAAGGAAGGGGAACTGTGTGTGCACGAGCTATTCTGTGCCGGAGCTGAGAATCCTCTGTGGTACATTAGCAGGTGGTGTGTTTTATATTTCAATATGGTAGCACTGGAGAAAGCGATTTCCCTGTAAAGGAAGCTTTTCCTTGTTGACTATTGGGCAGCTGCCTGCAGATGTTGGCCAGTCTCGTCCTGCACAACACTGCAGGGTGGGAGTGAAAACCCCGTCTCAGATGAGGAAAGGGAGGTGCTTACGCATGGGCCACGACTACACAGTGGAGCTGGAACTCAGCATCAGGGCCAGGCAACGCACGCCGGATGCCTCAAACAGACAAGTGTCTCTTTGCAACTGAAAAAACTACTGAGCTGGCCCAAGTATCTGGCCCTGCATGATCAACAACCCAAAGGGCTAAGGTCCCCAAGACCTCTACAAAGAGAAATGACTGCAACAAGGAAGGAAAAAAGCTCTGGAGACAGAGCTGGGTTCAAATTCCAGCTCTACCTCTTGGAGCTGAAGGACTTGGGAGAGGTTGGGGGCATTTCTGGGCCTCTGTTCCTTGGGGGATGTGTAGTATATAGTTCATAGGATGTTTTCCCTTGAAGAGCAACAACACACACACACACACACACACACACACACACACACACACACACCCACTTGGTACTCAGGCAGCACGCAGTACTATCTGCTGTTTTAATACTTTTGTTGACAAACTAAAACTTGATGGTCCCTTCCACGGAATTAGTTTTCTATGTCTAAATCTCTATTACCAGATTTGGTTTTTTAAAAGTTGTATTTTATTTTGCACAGGAGAGGATCTACCTTCCCTCATGAATGATCAGGCCGACTTTAGTCTGCCTTGCTTTGTAGGACTTTGGGACTTTGTAGGTTATACAGGAGGTAACTCCAAGATGTGTTGGAAGAATGCATTTAGGATCATTATTGCAGCTGATTATTTTCCTCCAAGTTGTGCTTCTAATGATTATTGTTCAAGGAACTTATCATCTGGCCTCTAAAATTCCTTTGGATTCATAACTCTGACAAGAAAGAAAGCCATCCAGAGCTTTGAATAATAATAATAATAATAAATGGAGCTCTGGCTTCAGAAGGTGCTTGTGTAACACTGTCTTTGAAGTTCTCAAGACTGAGACAGAGAGAGAGATACAGTGAGAGAAAGAGAGAGAGAGAGAGAGAGAGAGAGAGAGAGAGAGAGAAAGAGAGAGAGAGAGAGAGAGAACAAGAGAGCAAGCTTGGGAATAAAACACTCAGGCAGGGTGTTGGCTCTGCAGAGGCCCCTGTCTGCCCAGCCCAACTGCTATGCCACACCCTGGGTTTAGAGACGCCCAGGAGGACGTGAAGCTCCTGCAAGCCCCAGAGAGTCCTCAAGGGCTGGGGATTCTGCACTGAGACTTCTCTATGGGGCGGGTTACCCTGGTTCTGCCTCCAGGAAGAACTTCACAGAGGCCAGCAGGCTGCCCAGAGTTGTTCAGAGCTGCCTTTTAGGGTGGGAGAGGGATGAGCAAGGGCTTTTGGAGTGAGAAGGGATCAGCTTGGGTGGTTCCAAGCTATGATGAACTGGCCAGATCTGGAGCCAAGGGGACTCCAATTCGGGGCCCTTCAAAGCCGTGGTGTGAGTAAACGTGGCTGAGAAAGGGACGGACAGATGCTTTCATTTCCGCATTTTGTGTCTGTCTCTTTAACAATGAGCAGTTTAGAAAAAAACAGGTTTAGACTCAAAGCGTATCTAGAAGTTTCAGGTTTTTTGTTTTTTGTTTGTTGGGTGGTTATTTTGGCATCAGGGATCGAATTCACAACCTTGCACTTGCTGGGCAGGAACCTGTGCCGCTGAGCTACATCCCAGCCCCCAAAGCATATCTAGGAATATAAAAAACTTTCGCTTTTCCTTTTTATTTTTTATTTATTTTTACCACCTCTCTCTGTCCCCAAATCTTTTGCTTTTCATGAAAAGATTATCCCAGGTACAAGGCTTATAAGTGGGGAAATAGGTTAGAACCAGTACTGTTTTGTTGTTGTTTTGAGGCAGGTTCTCACTGTGTAGCCCTGGCTGGCCTCAGACTCAAAGTGACCGTCCTGCCTCAGCCTCTGAAGTGCTGGGAGTGCTGGTGTCTGCCACCAAGCCCATGCTAGCCATTTTCTTTTGAGAAAACTCAAATGTACTTAGCTTGGTAATCGGCTAGCGTTTTGGGCTAGTGGTGTTCAAGATCATTTTCCCTCCCAGGGAAAAGGAATACCATGAATTTAAGACAAAAATAAAATATGACTCACTGAAACGGTTGCCTAATGAAAGGTTATTTGTTTTTATTTTAAAATCTTAAAGCATGCTGTACAATTACCTCAAATAAATATTGCTAATAACCTTGAGCTGTAAAGTGATTTTCTATAATGAGATGACAGATAATATCAAAGAAAAAATTTCTATACAAATAAGAATGTTTAGAGACACTGAATCAAAGCTGAGACTGCTTCACTGAAATGGGCAAATTAAGAATTTACCCAAAATAGAGTGGGAACCCATTTTATTAAAAGTTAAGAGAGGGGGAAAAAAAGCACCAGTCACCCAAAGTTGCACACCAGTGATTTAATTGGAAAGGTCTTTTCTTATAAACAGAATTAATTCTAATTAATGGAAAATTCAAATTATGTTTATAAACACACACAAAACACTCTGTCCCATCGCATGCTCCCTGCCCAGCCCCAGACTCGAGAGGCTCTTTATGAAGGACAAAGGCCATTAATTCAGGTAATTCCCTACTTTCTAGATGAAGAAACTGAAGCACACACCACGAAGAAGACAAGCAACCACAGATACACAGAAAAGCATAGCAAATTCTTTCCCTCGGTCCTTGCTTTCTCTCTGCTGTTCCTCTAAGAGAGGGTGAAGAAGCAAACCCCAAAGTCAGAAGCAGAAGACTTGATGAGAAACTATGGCACCAACACTGAAGACTCGGACCTGGAAGAAACACAAACTGTAGCATTTCAAATCGCTGCTTCCTGGCCCCTGGACTGGTTCTGAACCAGGGTGGGCCTCGCCCTGAAAGAAATAAAGCTGGGGTTTGCAGCCCTGAGCCCCTCTTCTCTAGCACTGGGAAGCTATCAAGCATTGTGGAGGATGTGAGAAACCATCTGCTGTTGACATGGGCAGTGTGATGTGGCCCAGCAAAGTGAGGCTTCTTCCTGCAGGGCTGTCCTGGCATCCGGGGCCTGTCAGGCCCTGATCAGCCGCACCGGGCTTCAGTTACAATGGGAGAAAGCTTGGGCTAGCTGGGTGAGAGCAGAGCAGCAAAAGAGTGAGGCATGTAATCCTGTTCCAGGAGGCTGAGGCAGGAGGATTGAGAGTCCTTCAATCCCCTCCCCCGATACGCATAAAAGACAAAGTGGGTGAAGAAGGAGGGACTGGTTGGTTTCAGAGGCCTGAGCTCTGCTCTCCACCCTGTGGGGTGCAGTCTCCCACAGAGGACATTCAGAGGCTGCTGCCTCTCAGCAGAGAAATTCACTCTAGAGCCAGATCCACATTCCGGCAAGCAAGCAGTGGGTGGAGCATGGTGAGGAAGAACTGCCTCATTCATCACTGTGACAGGGACTGGGGCCCAGAGACTAAGTAGGTGCTCAGGAAGTGTCTGTTACTGCAGCAGGGGTGGACGCAGGAGTGATTAAAGGTACACGCTCAGTGGGGGAGAAAGAAGAGCTTGGGAAAGATCCTCACCCTGAAAACCACCAAGGGTGTCTCAGCCACAAGACAAATGGGACTCTCTCTCTCTCTCTCTCTCTCTCTCTCTCTCTCTCTCTCTCCTGCTTTTTTCTTTCTTCCGATGTCAGGTGAACCCTGGTTCTTCACACCAAGCTGTATCTCCAGCCCTTTTTATCTTTTATTGTGAGATATGGTCTTGCTAAGTTGCCCAGGTGAGACTCAAACTTGCAATCCTCCTGCCTCAGCCTCCCAGGTGCTGGGATTCCAGACGTGTACCACCACACCCAGCAGAGATTTCTTAATTTCATACTATTTGCTTCGTAGGGTGATTTCACCTTGAGGTCATCATGGTGGAGGAGGCAGGGAAGAAAGACAACTCGTGGGTGGTATCAAGAACAAAATCAAGGGCCAAGGTGGAGAGTGACAAAGGACATGGAGCAGCATGTGTCATCCAGGGACCTCTGCTTGAGGAAGGAGCATTCGTGGAGGGCACAAAGCGTGGCATGGAGCTGCCTCTGCAGCAGAGGACGGTGGTGCTTTAGAGGAAGAAGGTGAGCAGCCTTATGTAAAGGCTCTGACAAGGAAAGCTCTGGCTCAACGCAGAGGACTGAATTTAAGAGAGAGAGAGAGAGAGAGAGAGAGAGAGAGAGAGAGAGAGAGAGAGAGAGAGAGAGAGACTAAGGAAGTGACAGAGAAATTCAGCCAGGTCTCTCGGGCTGGGGTCAGGAGCTGACAGGATCACCCTGCCAGCCCTGTGCTGGTCCAGCAGGAGGAACTGAGGAATCTAAGCAACGTAGCAGGAGAGACAGAGCGAGTGGAGACTCCAGGAAAGCTCAGGCCACATGCAGCCACACCTGCCCTGGGCTGTCCCAGCTGGGGACAGGGGATGAGACAGGGATCAGAGTCTCCACACTGCAGGGAAAGCAAGACCGGGCCCAGGGCCCTGGGCAATCAGTAGTGAACCTACCCTGTGGGCAGGGAACTGGTATTTTTATCTCTTTCCCAATTTTCATTTCTTTCACCCCAAAGTTCAACCAATCAGAGGGACATGGAAGGAAATGCACCGAGTGAACCAAATGGCCAGGCGGGTGGAGAAGGTGGAGGTGGGAATGGGGAAAGGCCTGGGGTGGCCGTGCAGGGTGAGGCCACCGGGAGAGGCGCAGCCGTCACCGTTCCCTCCATCCTCCTTGAACTCAGTGCCTGCCACCTTTTCTCCTGCACAAAGGTGCACCTGCACTGGGTTCCTATGCTCTCCTGGAAGGTTTCCGGGCAGCCTTTTCAGATCTGCCTGCAGCTCACAGCTCGGGAAGTTGACCAGAAGGAGACATTTTGAATCCCACAAGAGGGAGGGGCGAAGTATGAGATGGGGACCGGTTGATCTCTCTGGAAGCCCCACTACTGGATCAGATTTGTCCCCAGGGCTCAGTCACACTGGGTGTAATATGTGTGGGGTCAAAAATGACTTCTCTGTACCTCTGAGCTCTGCAACGTTGATAGTCATTAATGATTATGAATTCGATTTAGAGGACCAAGAAATTTTGCAAAGAGATAGAACAAAATAATAGTCAGGTGTGGCAGCTGGGACCTGTAATCTCAGCTTTCAAAGGGGAGGGAAGGAGATGCAAAGCGTGTAAGTGTACACACGCTCGTGTGTACACACTGCACTTGTGCTGCCTGTAAAGTCAGACACGTTGCTTATTGTGGATAGCAATCTAAAAAATGAGAAAACTACTGATAACTTAGTTTCTCGCTCCCACTACCAGTCAGAAGCAGGACACGAGAAGACAATTGTGCACATACATGTCCGGCATCTTTTACTATACCCGAGGGAAGCTTTGAGGTCTGTCTCCCTCCCCTTTCCTGTCCTGGTCTCCTCCTGCTCTCCACTCTGTCCAGCTCCTGCTCCAGCTGGTACTGGAGCTTCAAGGACACAAACCAAGCGACCACAAGCCCCTACCTCACCGACAGGAGGCCAGGGTGTCCTTGGCTACACATATACCCCATCCACACCTCAGCCTCCTTATCCCCTAGATTGGGGAAGATTGGCCACGCTGACTATTTAAATGCCTGCATCCTGTCAAGCATTGCGCACTATGGAGCTTGCCCTCTCTGAGCTCCTGTTGTGCTCTAAAAAGCTTCCCTGGGGCAGCCCCTGCGCCCGGAGAGCTCCGCGGGAGATGGATGTGTGCGCTACATGGAGACAGCAAAAAGAAAACAAATCAATACGCCGATGGAGTGGAAGCCTTTTGTATCATACTCGGTCAGGGTGCTTCATGGCCCATGGCCAAAGGTCTGAGTCCCTGCCCTGTCTGGTCCGGGGAATTCTTCCCGGTGCCGCAGATAGAACCAGAAGCACAGCCCAGGCCCGGAGGCTCTGGCCAGAAGCGTGGTCCACACCTGGGGACTGCGCCCCACTGGAGAGATCTCTGGCCTGGAGGCCTTCAGCAGCTCTGCAGCCGCTGCCCTCAGGTCCCCCAAGTGCCTGCCAAAATTTTCAATGTAAAAGAAGAATCTGAGCAGGGGAAGGAATTCAGTCTCCCCGGCTTGCAGCCCAGACGTGCAGAGTGGGGGTCGAGGGGCCCCACCATGCAGCCTTCAGCTTGCGGGCCCAAGACCTGGCGTCCTCCTGAGAAAGCCGACCACGGAAACACATCGCATGGGGTGGGACACACAGGTGGACGGACGGAGTCTTGAGAGCCCAAATTCGGGAGGGCAAAGCCTTTGCCTGCAGACGGGGAAGCGGCACGGATGCTCTGGACCTCTGCCCACGGGAGGCGCCCTGTAGGGGTGCAGCGTGGTCAGCCATGAGCCCTGCCCCGCCTTCCTCCTGCTGCCCACACCGGGAGCAGCCTCTGCTTTCTTTAACGTCCACCAATAAAAACATAAATGCAGGCCCCACCGTCCAGCCCAGCCCGTGTACCAGATCCAGGCCCCAGGCACCCCAGTCAGCCGCGCTGTCTCCCAACTCTGGCTCCCTTCCCTTATCGCCGGATTCAAAATGTTGCATGCTGGCACATGGGGAATTATTCATGAATTTAAAGACTGTTTGTGGTTGTGATATCTACTCATTTGACAGGCAGAAGTACCATAATGCATTAGGGAAGAATGAAGCCAGGGAGGGGGTGTCTTGGTGTTGTCCTAAAAGTATAAATAAGCATTCAGGATATAGCAGGGCCGGTGGCACAGTCCATAATCCCAGCATCCCAGGAGGCTGAGGCAGGAGGAGTGCCATGAGTTTGAGGCCAGCCTGAATTACATAACAAGACTTTGTCTCAGAAAGAAAGGCAAGAAAGAAAGAAAAAGAAAAACCATTCAGGATGCAAAAAAGCTTTTGCTTATGTGAATTGTGTCTCTAAGATACTATTCTTTAGGGAAATATGTATCATGTTAGAAATGAAAAATAAGATATTTGAAACATAGTTGGGAACTTGTTTCAAAATAATAATGCTAGCAAGCTTGCCAGCATAAATAACATATTTTTATGTAAAATAACTTTCCCCAAACAAAAACAATTGGTGAGAAGAACGTCATGTTTTTGCAAACCTAATGCTGGCTTAATAGAAGACAGTGAGACCGCTTCAGCAGCTTCATCTGTCGCCTTTTGGTGAAAGTTTGTGAAGAGAAAACCCAGCACTACCACACGGACCTGTGGACAGATGGGGCCACGTTTCGAGAACCACTGGTTACACAGACACTTCCTACGCCCTGGGTCCTGGTCCTGCTCTGTGGGGATGAGCTGTGAAGCCTTGCATGAGGCTGTCAGCTCCTGGGGGCCACAGCTTGCTCGTGGGTGGAGTAAGGAATTCGAATCTTTATGGTAACTGCCCATGTGGGGGTGACAATGGTCACCTGTGCTTGGTGAGCAGGACGTGCCCTAAGAAGTTAAGTTTCTTCGGCTGCTGCATTGTTGTGCAGACCCCACCTGGTGTCCGTACTCTCGCTAAGGCGGCTGCAATGGCACCGATCAGTATAATTCGATTTTATTGAGGCCATCATCATCTGCACGTGCTCCATTGCTGACCAGAGCACTGTACGCCCGTGATTCCCCACCCAGGAAGAATTGCTTCAAGATGATCCCACAGACACAACTACCTCACAGAAAGGGACCCGGAGCCCCAGGTGCTGACCCACACATGCCCTGGGTGCCTCCTTCCTAGGACGGGTACAGGGTGCTAATTCAGGTTCCTGCTTTCCCTGTGAGCCTTCGTGGCAGAGGATGGGACTCTGCTTATTCTGTGCTGTTCGATACAGTCAATAAAGTACACTTAGCCTTGGATTCTTGCCCTCCATTTCCATTTCTACTGGCCCTGCCCATTGGGGTGAAGTGTGGAGAGATGGGGTGAGTATGGGAGAAGATGCTGCAGGGACAG